AAGCAAGTGAGTGGATATCATAAGAAACTTGAAGGACAACAGGTTGACCCACCAGGACAAGATATTGTATCTTAAACACAACCTTATCACCATATTACCACCTTATCAGTCCATTGTATGTAACCTATCACCATATTACCAATACACCATCTTACTACAGCACCATATGTAACCTATCACCATTACACCATCATACCTATCCTACCACCTTACCACCATCTAACTACCTTACACCACTTTAGTACCATCATCACCATTACACCATATACCCACAATGGTTACCAATATCACCAATCCTATACGATATCGTATCTTAAACACTATCTTACCATTACACCTATCACCACCTTATCATCATCCCACCACCTTACACACCATTGTATCACCATTGTACTATTACACCATACACCAATGGCTACCAATATTACCTATACAATACTTGTGTAATATCTTAACTTGTATCACCATTAATCTTAACACCTTTATACTAAGTTTGACATTTAACCACCATTGTCATCTTATCATTACCATGTACATGTATACCAAAGACATGCAATATATCCATTGCCATTGACCCACCATATTACCATTGTAACTGTAACCACCTTACCAGTTATCACCATTACACCTTATACCCACAGGTACACCCCAATGGTTACCAATATCACCAATCCTTCTTTAATATATTCTCCATTAACATGTATCACTGGAGCTACTCTTTGCTTTCTGTTAGTCTTCCCTTTCTTCCTTAATTAATAAATTGTTTTATTATAGCATGTACACATGTACCTTTATTCTGTACTTATACTTAATTTGTTATTATTATTATTATTATATTATTGTTGTCGTTATTGTATTTTTATGTACTTTTATTATGAAACAATAGCATTGAGTTTTCTATTTGACATTTTAATAAATTTTTAATATATTTTATAAAATCAAAATTAAAAAAGTCAACAATTTTATTCCAGTTCTCCTGCCACAGTGGACTTGAAGTGATTACGTCTGGACATTCAAGAACTGCTTGAATTTGATGTGATTCTCCACTGGTCAGTGCAGCTCCAAAATCAGCAAGATGTGTAGGATCATCTATAACTCTTTTACCAGCCTCAATGATCTGAGCCAATGGCTCTCTGTGGGACAAGAGGGTCATGTAATAAAAATGCACTATAGCCCATGGTTTTTTTAATGGCTCTAAAATCAGCCCAAATTTTTATTATAATTTCTGATATATATTGATGTACTAATGCTATGTAGAAAGTTTGAGCCAATTTCAGGGTTAAATTTTTGAGTTAGGGCCATTTAAAAAATGAGCAAATTTCAGAAACTTTCCCTGTACTATAGCCCATGGTTTTTTCCAAAACATCATTAATTCCAACAAAAGAAAAGACTATGCAACATATATTGCATACATTACACAGCTTATACAAATGTCAATTCACTGTACTATCATACATGTACATGTTGTGAGTTAGGTAGAAGTACATGCACATACTTTTCCAGTGAGTGACAGTTCCCCAGTCATGGCAACATTCTGACGTATTGGACGATCCATAGCCAGTGAGAGGAGGGCAGAGACTATAATGACACCTGCTAAAGGACCATCCTTTGGGGTAGCACCCTTTAATTAATAAATAATGA